CTACCCCCCTACCCCCCTAACCCTCATTTACTCCTGGTCAAATGACTGAAGCTGAATTATTTACAGAGCCATTAATATCCTTTTTACCTCCTTTGTCCTTATTTGTTTCTGGAGTCTTCACATAGGCTGCCTATGTGAGAAAACACAGCATACAAACTCACAGAATAACACCCCCACTGGCTTTGCCACTCAGGGAATTATCTGACTCTACACTATAACATGGCCTTGTTTACCAGGCCAGGGATCCCTGAGCTCATGCTGTGAGGTTGGCTTCCATTGAATTTCCTTCCCTTATTGCAAAGTCCCCTTCACAGCCTCCCATTAGAATCCTGGGGCTCGCAGCTACTTGATGCTTTTCAATCCATAGAAAGCCAAGTCAGCCATTCATTTGGGTCCTTGGGGGCCCAAATACTTCTGTCGTCATTGATTTAATCCTTTGGTTTTTTAATTTCCTTGCTTTGTACCTGAACATTCCACTTTGGCAGCAGCTCAGGAGGTTAATCCCATTGACCAACTTTAAAGCATGGTGAAAGAAGTCTCAGAATACCTAGGAGACCAAATGAGCCTAGTAGGCTTCTACAGTACTTGACTCTAGGGGGTCTTTCAGCCTTAATGCCAAGGAACTGGCTGACTTAACTCCTTGCTTAAGGGATTAAAAGGGCAGCCCTGTATTCAAGGCTCCCTGGGAGGCTGAAACAACAGCTCAGTTTTAACCTCTACTTCACCGATTGGCTCAGGAAACAGCCATTGTGGCGTGATTCAGGCTGGAAGTACTAGGAAACTAGAGCCCAGTTGCCACCCTGGCTTCCCAGAGCTCCATTCAGAAGCTAAAGTGTCAACCACATTCATAAGGGGAGAAAAAGTTATAATCAGAAGGGGTTTGATCTTCCCACCAGCTACTGTGCCATGCTAGAAGGAATAGCCATTGGTGTGGCACTCTCAGTAGTAGCTGCTGATGCTTCAGCCAACTAAGAACTCCACCTTTTAGCAGTTTGCATATGCCATTGTTAAAAAACCATTTATAAAGCCTAACAAGTCAATCAGCCAGAAGCTATGGAAATAGGCAGTGGCCCAGATCTGGCAGAGCTTCACTTGACAGCTGTCCTGTGTTCTCTCCCGTGCTGATTCAGGACATCCTGGAAAGAAAGGTTCAAGAGGCGAGATAGGTCCCCCTGGATCATTTGGAAAGAGAGGTCTGCCTGGGCTAAAAGGCCTTCCTGGATCTCCGGGGCTAGTTGGCTTGCTGGGAAGTCCAGGCTTGCCAGGGAGTATCGGTTTGCCAGGCCTCCCAGGCCCAAAGGGTAAGTGAAGTGATCAGTGAAGTGACCAGTGGGAGCCCAAAGGAGCATTTAGCTGCCAAGCATGCCCCTTCTGCCCAAAAATGGGGAGCAGGGAGGGAGTTGAGCAAAGCTTTTTGTGGCAAGATAGTTGGATAAGACTAGTGCTAAAGGAGGACCCCCACCCAAGGTAAGTCCTCACTGCCTGCTGGGTGGAATATTATGCTGAATATTATGGTCAGTAAAACCCAGGGCAGCAACAGCCATGCTGGATTTACTCATTTGCATGACCCCTATCCCAGAACCTGACAGTTCTCACTTTTATTTTTCCTCTTTTTATTTTTATTTAAAATTGTGGGGTACAATTCAGGGCTAGGTATACAAATATTCACCGTGCAGGTACCCATATCTATGAGATGTGCCCCCCTTCCCCAGGCAGATATCAACTCCTGTCAATCCCTCCCCCCCATCCCCCCACCCCCGTCCTGCAGTTTCCCACCACTTTCAATCCTTTTCTTATAGTATGGTCATCATCAATAATTCAGAAAATAACAGATGCTGGAGAGGATGTGGCGAAAAGGGAACACTTCTACACTGTTGGTGGGAGTGTAAACTAGTATATCCTCTGTGGAAAACAGTGTGGCAATTCCTAAAAGTTCTAAAAATTGACCTTCCTTGTGACCCCGCAATCCCCCTACTGGGAATATACCCATAAGTTCTCACTTTCTGTAAATGCCCTGATAGCCATCAGTGGTTGGGCAAGAAGCATCTCCATTTTAAACAGGGGAAAGTAACTGGTTTAAAGTCACACAACTGGTTAGCAGCAAAGTCAAACCAGAGCCCCTCTTGTAGTCTCCTAGCCTAGACTTTTTTTTAATCTGTGTCACACATAAGCTCTAGCTTGGCCGATCATAAGAGAGGGGCTCACTTCTTCCTTCATTTGTGATGCATGTCTATAATCAGGGAAGTAGTATAATGTGTAATGGCTAAGAGTTTGGTAATGACTAAGACTTTGGAATTAGAGAAACGTGGGTTTGAATCCCTTCTCTGCAACTTATTAGCTGTGTGACTTTGGACAAATTATTTAACCTCTCAGAGCCTCCATTTCATGGTACGTAACCTCCCTGAGCCTTCATTTTCTTGTCTATAAAATGGGGATAATAATAGAAGTTCTTGTTTCTCAACAGGTGAGAAGGGGTCCATTGGACTGATAGGTTTTCCAGGGGTGCCAGGTCTCCCTGGTATTCCTGGAGCAAGTGGATTAAAGGGAATTCCAGGATCTATCGGAAAAATAGGACCATCTGGACAGGCTGGTAGTCCTGGTGAAAAGGGTGAGATGGGGAATTGAATTCTGGAACATGCTTCTCAATGTATATTTTGTTTGTTTACTCTGTCATTCCTGTGGTTTGTACCAATGCTGTGTTAGATAATAAGATTTGGGGCTTCTGAATTAAGTCATTTTAAGCCAAAAAAACGAATCTCTTCTGAGTTAACACTGCATGTTAGGGGCTGTGTGTGTATTTCAGTAGCAGATGATCAATGGAGGAGGGTTTTGAGTAAGGTCTAAAGTTGCTGGTGGACTTTGGATTTGGAGAAGGAGAGGGCATACACAGAAATGCAAAGTTGGGGGAATGGAGGTGGGGAAGAAGATGGAAGGGCCCAGAAAGAGTACTGAAGAAATGATATGAAAGGTCAGTCCTTGCCTGACCCTGTGTCTAAGCTCTCTTTCTCACGCTGATCTCCCAATCTCCATCCTTGCAGGAGACAGAGGCGATCCAGGGCCAGTTGGAATACCCAGTCCAAGACCTCTTGTGCCAAACCTTTGGCTCAAAGGAGACAAAGGCTCTCAGGGCTCAGCCGGATCAGATGGATTTCCTGGGCCCAGAGGTGCTGGGGCAGGGGACAGGCAGGAGAAATGCCAAAGAAAGGTTTTATAACCAAACTTGGCTTGCGTCCTGAGTAAAGGCCCTGAAGTACAAGCCCTGCCCCCACCCCCACCCCACCCCCAGAGCAGTGGTGTGGCTGGCAGCAGGGGTCCAAGAAGGCTGCCTTACCTGGGTCTGAGGAGTTCCTGGACATTGAGACTGCCATTTGTCATTGCCACTGTGAAACAAAGGTTTTCAACCACAGAATGTGGTACCCCTGGGGGGGAGGGGTGGTAGACAGTGGGCCCTGAGCACTGAACTGCTTTCCCAGTGCTAGAGCTAGGGTGGTCCTGACAATGCCCCGTAAGGCTGAGAGCATCTTTTCCTGTTTCACATCCACCCTTAAGCCAACTATCCCCTTATCCTGCACTTAGCCTTGACCCAGGACACCTGCATCTTAGTGAGCAGGTTTTCTCTTGCCTAGAATCTTTTTCCAAGGCCTTTTGCTTCTTTTCCAGGTGACAAAGGAGACTCTGGCCACCCTGGGCCATCAGGCCTGCCTGGAGTTTCTGGCTTCCCTAGCATTATCAAAGGACTTATTGGGAGGCCAGGCTCCCCTGGCTCCATAGGACTACGGGGCTTACCTGGCCTGAAAGGGTCCCCTGGGATCACAGGCTTCCCAGGAATGCCAGGAGAAAGTGTAAGTGAGCCCAAATCTTTGTCTCTTTACCAGAGAAGGGTCTCTATCAAAGGAGGACATGCCCCCACTGCTCATCTTCCTGATCCCAGCCCTGTCTCCCAGGACATCCTCTTCTTGAGTCTGACAGGCCTTCCCACCATTTTCTGAAATCCCACCCTTCTCTGTCTATGGTCACATTATCTCCCCGACATGGCAAAGCCTCCTGCCTCTTCTGCAATTGCCCAATATTTGCCTATCCTTCAGGCCCCAGCTCAGGCATCATCTCCTCTGGGAGTCCCTGAGCTGGCACTCTACCCTTCTCACTGCTGACATTAATCTCCAGTGCTTCTGTGAGGGTCTGACTTCCTCAGTGAGATTATTAGGGCTTAAGAACAACAACGGCCTTGCACACTTTTTTTCTTCACCCCACCACCAGCATTCCACATTGAATTGGGCACTTCCTGAAAATTCAGTGCAGACTTCTTGATGTTTTAATAGAAAGGTCTTTGAAGCTCTGCAAAGGGGCAACTAGCTAGGACTCAAGTCCAGCTTTTCTGGGCTCTTAAAAGGTGGGGTGGTATAGGAGGCTTAACAATAAGTCCGACCTAGATTTGAACCTCAGCTCCATGACTCATTAGCCCTGTGACCTTGTGCACATGTTTAACTTCCTCAAACTTCACTTTTCTCATCTGAAAGAAATGGGAATAATATTCAGATGTCCTTCAGACAGTTAAGGGGTTAAATGAGATGATACATGTAAAACACTTAACGTTGTGCCTGGCACATGGCAGCCTCTGCATAAATGGTAGCAGTATCGAAGGACCAATGTGAAAAAATGGTAGCAGTATCGAAGGACCAATGTGAACTGAGTCACAGAACACCTATGCTCCCTGCAGGAAAAGTCCCTGTTCTTCTAATGTGTCAAGCCATCTGGTGGCGAGAACACACACACACACACACACACACACACACACACACACACACACACACACACACACACACCACTGAAGCAACTGCAAAATAGTTTTAGACTGAATAGTCCTGATTCCTCACATACTAGGAGGGATGGAAACAAAGTGGGAGGGCATTCTGGGAGGAGTCCCAACATGATTAGAGACTCACGATTAGAAGATATGGCAATGTGCTGGATGAAACCAGACAAGGAAGCAGGCAGAATGGAGGGGGTGTCCTGGGTAGTGGTCCAGTGAACACAGTGACCCAGCCCAGTACTCAACCTCCTGACCAAAGAACTAAGTAGCATGTGTCTTTTCTGAGTAATGTGTACATCTCAAAGTGAGCTAGTCATCCCAGATGCCAGGGAAGAACTGTACCGATGGCAGCTGACATGTCCACTTCCCAGACTCAGAGAGCATTTTGGATATTGGCTAGTGAAGACAGCTTTTCCTGGAAAATGATAACATTTCCCCAAATTCAGACTAGCACCTGCACACGTACAGCCTGCTACCTGGTGGCAGAAAGACCTTGTGTTCCACGTGGAACTTATGGCATAGGCCTAGCTCTGCATGGTAAAGCAGCACTTCATCCTACCCATGATGGCTCCAGAGCTTTAGCAAGGGTGGTGGTAGCCGACTGTCTGCAGAGTACTTAAGAGTGCCTGGCTTAACTATCATGTTCTGTATTTTCTAAGAGATTCATTAGAGCAATCACACTTTGATTTTTCAAGTTTCCAATTTTAATGGGCAATGGGAAGTTATGACTGACAAGAAAAGGATTAATCTGCAGATAAGAATCTTTCCCCTACAAACTCTAAGTATGGGCTTCTGCCCTTTGCTCATCACTTTCCCATTTGTAGGATGTACCCTCCATACACATACAATATACTCTTGCCACAGAGTGCATGATAGACATCTCTCAGGCAGTGGTTCAGTGAGAGGAGAGGGAGTAAGAAGGTGGGCAGTCCTGAGTTCTAGGTAAAATTAATAATTTCCGTATTGATTTGAAGGGTTTACAGGGTCTCAGAGGGACTCCTGGACTCCCAGGAACATCTGGTTTCCCAGGCTCAAAAGGTAAGAATCTGTTCTCTTTTAATGTGTGTGTTTTTTTAAGAGCAAAGTGGATTTCTAGCAAGCCTAGGGCTGTCTTTGGGGGGACTGTATTTAAGGGTAAGTGACTTGACTTGCATTTTCTCTGTGGCGAAACCTCCTCTGTAGCCCTTGTTTCTCAAAGACAATGCAATAAGCAGTGGCATCTACCAAGATTTTTCTCCATGGCTTTCATGGAGCCAAGAAAAAGGCTGTCCTTTGGCTTTGTGGTTTGACTCATCTGCCTTCCAGACTCAGCAGCATAGAAACTTGGCTCCAGTCTCTTCCTCTGATGAGCCCAGCCCGCTGGGAAGGAATATTTCCCATTCTTGCTGGCATCACTCTTCCATTATGGTGATGTTTTAGGGCCCCACCTATCATCTTCTCTACCCATATCAAACCTAGGAATGTGTTTCCCAGTGGAGATGTGCTGCATATAACAGCATTTCATGCTGGTAGCCTGGTAGCACCCCAGCTCCTGAATGGTGATTGGTCACCTTTTACTCAATGGATAATTTTGTCAAGGGACTTCTTTGGCTACATTAAATCTGAAAAAAGTCTTATGTTCAAAAGATCTGGATATAAAATGAGCCATAGATTCTCCTGACCATTTAATCAATGTTTTGGTATCCTCAGGGGATCAAGGCCAAATGCTTGAAATTTCTGGTAGCCCAGGATCCAGGGGACAACGTGGTGAAACTGGTTTTAAAGGTAAGGTTGGTATATTTTTGTCTCATGCCTCACAGACTCCCCAAAACCGGGGATTGGAAGGAATCTTGGAGGTCAGTTTCCAAGTTCTTTGACTTCCATCCAGTGCAGAATAAGTCAACCTACAAGTTTCCCATGCAAACCAGGCTACTCCTCCTTCAAGACTCAGAGGCTGGCAAAGATCTTTGGGATAATGGCATCCACTCCCTTAGTTTATAGATTGTTATCTCAACTGTACTTCTCAAACATTTCCACCCATTGCTCCCACTTCTGGGGGGCACTCAGAACAAGTTTACTTACTTCTCAATTGGAAGGCACCTTTCAACTGTGAAGACAGCTTCCACTACCCTTTTCAGAGTTTCTTCATTGGATCTAGCTCCCTCAGCAGTTCAGAATCCACTTTCCCATGGAAGAACAAACTGCTGAAAATGTGACCTGATCACTCAGCAATTTTTTTTTTTATTTTGTAGGTGCAAAAGGAAAATATGGGCAAATTGGTGATGTGGGTTTCCCAGGCAATAAGGGTGAAAATGGAAAAGTTGGTATTTCTGGAGACCTTGGCCTTCCTGGCTCCCCAGGTACCATGCCATATGATAACTTTATTCTGAAAGAGTTGGGGTTAGCTTTCAGCTTTATCCCATTCTGAACTTCTGCCTTGGTTTCACATTTAGGACTGCCAGGAATTGCAGGTGTAAGAGGAGACCCAGGACTTCCAGGTCCCTCTGGTCACCCAGGGGCAACTGGGCCCCTGGGACCCCCTGGCTTAATAGGACCCAAAGGTATGTGCATTTAGGAGCAGGCAGCGGGGAACGATGTCTTTCCCTCAAATAAATAACAGTAATTACTTTATCTTAGAAGGCACTACTAGAGTTAAGCCATACCTAAGGGGTCATTGGGCCACATGAGGAATAATGGGAAAGGAGAATCAAGAGACATGAAGGCAGGCAAGCATGAATGGGAAGAGAAGAACATGGGATCCATGAAGAGAAGAGTGAGCAAGCAAGGTCGTTGCCCTGGCATATGCAGCCTTTCCCTGATCTAGAGATTGGGCAGCACATTTCTGGAACCAATCTCTGGCCACTGGCAACTCAAGGTCTTGTCATTGCCACTCGGAGTTTTTCTTGGTGATACTCAATTAGCTACCTAGCTACCACCTTACTCTTAAAGCTGCATTGGTCTCTGGTAAGAGTCATGAGAACCTAGGGCAAAGGGTGTAGGTTAAGGGTGATCTGTTCTCCTTTGGGGCATTAAGTAATACCTCAAGAAAGACCAGGACTTTAAAATGAGGACCTTGCAATGCCTTTGAAGGGAGGTAGCTACCTCTTGCTGACCCTTACTGATTCAGAGTTGCTGGAACCATTTCTGATATTCTCTCTCTTCAGGCTTCCCTGGATTTCCTGGTTTGCATGGACTGAATGGGCTTCCAGGCACCAAGGGTACCCATGGCACTCCAGGTTAGGAGGACCCCAAGGGCAAGGAGGAGGGCACCAGCTCTTCTAGAAACCCGGCAGGGTCTCGACATGAACTCTCGACTGTGGTGTATTTCATATCCTTGAGCTCATAGATCTTCTTACCAGTCTCCAATTTGAGGTTCTCTGATATGAGGAGAAAAGAGGATGGGGTTTGTCCTTCTACTTGAATGAACTCTCCTTCCTGCTATTTCAGTGCTCTGCCTCTGGTATCTGTTGGGCAGGCTTCTCAGGCCACAGGCAAATGAGCTAGGCATGATGGTCTCACCCTCACTGAGCTCGGTCCCCTCCCCATGAATCTCCTCCTAGGACCCAGTATCACTGGTGTGCCTGGGCCTGCTGGTCTACCTGGACCCAAAGGGGAGAGGGGATCTCCAGGAACTGTCATCGGAGCTCCAGGGAAGCCAGGCTTGAGAGGACAGAAAGGCAGTAGAGGTAAGTGAGTCCAAACCAGGTTTTGTAGAAGTTGAGTGAGGCCTTGCTGGGAGAGTCAGGTTTGGGTTTCATCAGGGCCATGTGACTCACAGGATTAAGCTGTGCATGTCTTCACATCTCTGGGAGTCTCAGAACCCAGTGGGAATGGCTGCTGAAAAGAGAGGAAAGGCCATGCCTAGCTGTGAGGGGTATCAGGGAGCAGTTTACCAAGTCTCCTCTAACCTCTGGATTCCCTCTTGCTCTTTCTTACTAACTTCAGGGCCTCTCTTGCACATTTGGCCAGAGCCTGAGTTTAACAGTCCTGAGAGACAGGGCTTGTTCACATAGCGAGGGGATGGCCAGAATTTCCTTAATGTCCAGTGTGGATGTAACTCCTAGGGCCCTGGGAAGACAGTGTGGCAGCAGGAAGGAGCCCTAGACTAAGAGGATACATGTCTCCCCGGGACAGCATCACAGTGAGCACTCAATTAGGATTTGTTGGGCTTACAGGAAAGCAGGTTCTACCCTGATCTTGGCCCCTGGCTGAGAACATAGTGAACATGGCCTGAAGTCCCTTTCTAAGCCTCCTTTTCCTCGCCTTTTTTTTTAAGTTGAGAAAGCAGAATTTATTGAGAGGACAGAAAAGCTCCCACAGTGGGAGGGGACCCAAGGGAGTTGTCCTTCCCCACCTTTTAAAAAGTGAGAATGAATTCTCATTCTTCAACTTTTCCTCAGGAATATTCTAAAGAACCATACACAAAAGGTGCCAAAAAATATATATACACATTTTAAGAAAGGAAAAAAAAACTGTATTAAAATTGTAATACTCAATATATACTGATAACACAAGATGAATACAAATCACATTTGACTTCTGCAATTACAAGAGGTGCTCAAAGTGGTAACTATCAATGTCCAGACACTTCTGATTATGGCGAACTACTGCAGGACTTGTTGCTGTCCAAGGCCTCCCGGTTCTTCCTTTGTGCACATCACACACAGTACCATGCGTCTCAAACATATCACAAGTGCGTGCAATTGTTAGACGTGTTGGAGGTTCTGTTGGATACTCACGCCTCCATTGTTATTGTACTTACACAACCCTCTCAGATTTCAAATACCATTTCAAAGTGGTCTTATGCTCCTCAAACGACAACTATGGTTCCACCATTTTCTTTGACTGTCCTGCCTATCACATGGTGATGCTAGCATTCATTTGATTAACATCATCTTTTGAGCAAGCATCATACTACACATTGCTACTGTAATTCAATTTAATTTCAAAAAGGAATACATAGATAACATCTCTTAAAATGTGTGTATACTTTTTTGGCACCCCTGGTTTATCCCAGTCAATGTTAACCAGGAAATGAATTCAGTGTAACATCATGGTTAAGACTATGAGCTCTGAAGTCAGATTAGCTGGGTTCAAATTCCAGCTCTGCCTCTCACTAGCTATGATTTTGTACAAGTAAATTACTTGTTCTTCAGTCCAAAATGAGTAAAATGAGCATAATAATAGAATCTACTTCATAAGTTTTTTGAGTGATCAACAAGGAGTGAGATAATATATGTACAAGCTCAGTGCCTTGCACATAGTAGGTGCTCAAGAAATGTTGGCTGTTATATTATTACATGTTACCTGGGGGAATCATATTTGTAAAATGTTCTCTTCCTCATCACTTGCCTGAGGCCTCCTAGCACTTTGTTCATGTGCATGTTTGTATAATATTTGTATGTTTTTCAGGAACTATATTGATACATTAATTCATTTCCTGATACATTTTGAATTGGTACATCTGCTGTTTCTGTGTTTACTTTTTCCTTTGATTTGGGCCAAACTGTTCATTTCTGAAAACGAACAGCTTTTCAGAGTAAGGGCTCAAAGCAGAGGCCAAGCCTGCAGAGATATGGTTTCTTTCACAGGATATAGGGAAGAGGGGACTGGATAGAAGCACAGGGGTGTTTCCTTTTGTTTTCAAATCTTGTCTGATCATTTAATTATTCATTTTTCTTTTTCTTTTTTTTTTTTTTTTTTGAGTTGTAGTCTCACTCTGTTGCCCAGAACTGG